GTCTCTCAGTGCAGGAACTGCTGCATATCCTGCGCTGCGATCTCGCTTGCATCAGGGTCTATGGTGGGAGCACAAAAAGAAAGACTCGCAGAATTCGTAACCCCTCAGTCGGAATGATTTTGGGCACGGTTGTGCGGTATTGAAGTCTCACCGCGCCGCTGCTGCTCCGCGAGCCCATATCGGGCACCAATCTCACCCGGGCTTAAACAGGCTGCCGTTTCGCGCAGTCTGTGGGTGTCGTTTTCGAAGCTCCGGCCAGCAAGCACACCTGGCAGACAGGTCCTTGCAGATCTTCTCGAAGAGTTCGCATCTTCCTTTGCTATGTCGCAGCTCACGGACCTGCAACAGGGTTGGGGCACGCCGCGGCCTGCTGAGGTTGTGTATATGTACCTCGATATACCGTATATCTACATACACACATATTCGGTCATGTTATAACATAATATAGTATCTTCTTATACGTTTATACATGACGGTGAATAACTGAACATACAGTAGCTGTACATGAGCATGTGTGCAACTAACCTGTACGGCCCGTACGTAGATATACATGTACCGCGTATGACTTCATGCACCACTAGCACTGGAGCAGCCTTGAACCACTGCTTCGCCAGATACGTCAGCCGTGGATCCTTGGGATGTGGTTAATTAGTCTTGAAGTCAGTTCTTAACGTCTTAAAGCGAACGACAGCGGCACGCGGCGGATCATCCTAATAGCGTTGTCCTTAACGGTTTGTTTAGTCTTTGGGCACTCGCAGCTCGGCATCATCAGGCGAGGACTTTGGGCGAAACAGATGAAACGTGGGATATCCACCTCAATGCAGGGTCTGGCAGACGCCAGATGTCATGGCACAGCCGGGACGAGAAGATCCAGAATTGAAAACTTCAACTCGATGGATTAGAACTCTGCGTCCTTGGAATTCACCTGCCTCTACTCAAGAGAGGCTACTGGAGCTCCAACAGTCCCGAGGATTCAGAAGAATCTATGCATGCAGGGTGAATATCTAGCTGCGGCTAGGACTCTTGACAGTTCTCAGATGTTCTCAGGTTCTTGTTCGATTGAGGGTGCAGGAGTCCAGCTTCTAAGCCCAAAACAGTCGGCTCTGGAGGAGCTGAGCGCAACATTGCGCAGTGTAGGCCGAGATTGGTTTCGGGGCGAACCTGGAGACAACATAGGCTGTGCCTCCGGTTTTAAAGTTTTTTGCCTCCTGCATTGCTGAGCAAATCACCAGGCAGAGTTTGGGTTAGAGCGGTTCGGGTTCCAATCGCAAGAAAATGAAGAGTTCTCTAGGAAACGAATTTCCTTTCGTAGAAAGCGGCCGATGCTTGCCATGTGCGGCGCATAGCTGCGCGCGGGGTTTGGTTAGGGTTTCACCGAGCTCCAGCCGCTGGAAATGTCTGGGCATCCCTGCGGGTGGTAGCAGTGGCGACTCAGGCCTTACTTCGCTCGGAATCGGAATCTCCTCCTCGGAAAGCAGAGTGTGGTTCGACGATGGTGGTTTGGGGCTTGGGGGACCTTGAGACGAATAAGACTAAGATGGCAAGAAGGGCTTCAGTGGTCGTACCGCTACATCTGCTGACGTTTGTCCACAGCTGTGTAATGGAAATCATGATACGGATAACCATGGGCAAGAGATGATGATGATCATGAGGAGGACGGCAATGGTGATTGGAACGGGAGAGATATCAAGTCTTCTTGACAGGTCTTCAAAGTGATGTACGACGGGGCCAGGACTTGGGCTCTGTGAGGACGAGCCTCCACGAGCGACACGCAAGGATGCGCCACGCGTCGGCCTACAGGTCTTTGGGCCTGACTAAGTACAATCGGATTCTTTCACCAGAGCCGTGAAAGAAAAACTGGGGAGCGCCTGCGGAACTATCCCTATCAATCTCAAACTGGTTTATCTGTTCTGCTACCTGCTACCAGTACCCGACTTGCTCTGATAGATTAGTTACTCTCTTTCTTTCTTTCTGCAGGGTGTAAGGGTCGCGCAAGCGCCCCCCAGGCTTTCAGCCCGCCCAGCCACACTCTGTGATTATGGAGTGGCTGGTAAAGGGGTCTTTCCAGATTAAGGCAGGGAATTACGCAATATGCTCCAGGTTTTCATGCAGCGATCCCCACCTAGAACACTAAAAACCCCCCCCGCATCCCGGCCTCATCTCCGGGCCCCTATGGCTAGCCAGCATTAGTTACTCTCTCTCTCTCTCTCTCTTTCTCTCTCTCTCTCTCTCTCTCTCTCTCTCTCTCTCTCTTCTTCTGCTGGGCGTGAAAGGCGTGCGAGGCCTTTCGGCCACATGGGCCCCCCATATGTTATGGGGCATTCGGAAAGGCGTGACAAGTCAGCGAGTTCCCCTGATAAGCAAAGTAAATATATTGGACTATGAAAGATCAGGGTTCATCGGCTGATTGCTCGACACATGCAATGGATATTACAGTACTGTATGTCCCCCATATACACAAACTGCTCCTTCTCGTAATCCAAAGCAGTTACAGATTCCCGGGGGGACATCACTTTGAACCGCTCCACGGTTCGCAAGTGCATGTCTCACTTCAGTGCATACACGTGATGGCGTCCCCCACTATGACACTCAACAACTGCACAAAAGCCTATATACACTGGTAGAAGGGTAAACAACACATGCCATCACTGGTGAGATCAACATGGGCATACGACTCGACGTCTTCAGGAGCTCGTCTACTAGAAACAACAAGATACAGAAACCGAACAAACCGCATGGACAATTTGGCTTTGCTCCATGAAGAAAATGGCTTTTCGGTGCAGCTTCATGGTCCCCCTGTCTTGAAAGAAGTACCACCATGACATATTCAACCCCGGCGACCTAACAAGAGTATGCTTTCAGGGGTCCACTGCTGCGCATATCGGACACTGGATAAATAATTAAGGTGTGCTTCGGCTCAATCCCCCAACAGCATCTTAAAGGTTAAGTGCACAAAATATACTGGTTCACGATAGGTCAGGGTCAGGATTCTCTCTCTCTCTCTCTCTCTCTCTCTCTGTCTCTCTCGGTAAACGAGTACAGCAACACAACTTCAACGGCGGGGCCCAGGTCCACTGTTCCCTTATGACTGTGACGCAGCGCCTACGACCTGCGTCTGCCCCCGCCGCCCCCGCCCCCGGCCTGGCGCGGCATGAGGCAATCCATGTGGCCAGCTTCCTTACACGACGCCAAATGATTCTGCATGAGATGGGCCATAGTCGGGTAAAGGCAATTACCAACATGTACGACGGTGCTAGAAATGGCAATGAGAACAAGTGGGATTCGATGCAAACCCTCAACCTTGCACGTTCTTCACTTACCGAGTTTCAATGGAACCAAATGTGAGTGGTCCGAAGTCTTGAAGCTTTCGCGTCTTGGCCCGTACTTTGGCGGCAGCTTACGGGGTCTTTGCCCCTCGCACTTATCAGTTTGCCTAGTTCGTTTCTGGGAATCGGTTCCTATGTGTGAATTGCCAGTGTCTCTCGTCTCAATGCACCGATAGATCTCTAAGAAACTGCCCGAAGCTCAAAACCAAAGTCTGCCAATGCCTCGGTTAAGGGGGCTTGGCCTGCGATAGCATGTATTGATGCATCCTCTCTTCGGTCTCCGAAACAATCAAACCCTTTGGTCGGCTCCGGCTAGACGAAACCAGTCGGAGGCTGCCACAACAGCAGGTGCTCACGAGTTGCAAGCAGCTGGCACAAACAAGTCAAAGCTTGAGCGGAAGTGCCACCTACACCTGTGCGCAAGCCCGACAAACCGAAGGCTCTCACGCTCTTGACACACATTCCTTTCGCTGACTGTGAGCTTTGTGCGTTGCAAAGGGAACTGAGCCCCGAAAACTACCTAGAATCTCAGGAGCCAGCACCCCACGAGAGGCGAAGTAGCAATACCATACCATAGTGATGCCAGAGTGACAGCAGTAGAACCTGAACTTAAACCCCAAAGCCCAAAAATCTCCTCTTGCATCTTGGGGACCACCGTTTCGAGCTGGAAACCCGCTGAGGTCAGGCGTCCCCATGCCTGACATATGGTGCTCGCATTTCGGCCCGAAAAAATATTCCTGGTAGGTAGGGCTTGGGACCCGAATTTTCGTATGATTGGGGACATCTTAGGACAGCCGAAATTGAAAGAGTCCGGCGGGCGAATAGGGGCTACAAGGATCTTCTGCTTCTTCCTCCCCAACGTGGCACCCCCCACCGGGTCAGATTCAAGGTTCAGGCTTGAGGCTCCCATGCGAAAACCGTGCTCACCGCCGTTAGGCCAGTTGGCACCTGCTTTCGGTTTCTTGGCTCTGGATTTTGCCTTTACGCTCTCGCACTCGGACTCCGCCAGGCGAGGTTCGTAGGTCGGCTTGGCGAAACAGAAGAGTGACTTCAACAACAAGAAAACGTTCAAGAATCTTTGATTCAGCAAGGGGAACGGCATCGACGCTCAAAGTCACTTCGTGTGGATTTCACTAGGGCTTGTGAGACGTTGGGTTTCATGGTGCAGGTGCAAAGCAGCAAATTGATTTTTGGTTGTTAACGTTACGGTTTAATGTCGGCAGTAAAAAGAATTCTTTCGTAAGCATCTGTTTTTAGGGTTTCGGAGAAGTAGGCTTTCAGGCATCTTCGGGCCCCTGCAGCTGGAGGGCTCGCGGGTAAGTCTTGATCTCTGCTTTGTCCCTCGACTTGACATTAATCAGCCAGCTGACAAGCTATGAAGCTCAACAAATGGGGCTCAAACCATGCTCTGAATAGCCCAACCTCTACAATGAGCCGGCTGCAGCTAAATTCTTGAATTTTGGGTCGCGGCTGTGGCCTGATTGTGCAAGAAACATGGATAGCCATGGCAGAATGAAACTTGGCCTTAATATCTATCCGAATCTACCTAACCTTCCCTGCTTCCAGAAACACATGTGCCAAATTTAACTAGAAATCAATCCAACGCAAGCTCTACCATTCTACAAAAATCTATGGATACCTCTAGTATGAAGCCCTTAAGAAATTCAATTCAACCTACTGGTAACTGGTACCACGAGTCCGGGCCCGGGCCTCACAGTGATCCGGCTGGCAGGCTTCGTCTTGCAGAGGTGAGACGGCCATGATCGGCACCTGCGATTCCCTCTGTCTGTAGTTTAGGGTAAAGGGCTTCATGCTCTCACAACTCGACGGTGTAGGGGTTGGTTAGGGTTTCCCCAGCAACGCGCAAGATAGGAGCTACAAGTAATTACGAACAGGCACCCGATGGAATAACGCAACTGATTCTTCAAGCCCCTTTTGCTCCAAGTTGCTGCTGGAAGCTGATACGGCAGCGCGGGAATTGCCGTTTTCAGAATTCGGCATCCAGTTTGTGCTTTTGGACCATGCTCTGTCTGACGTGCTCGGTTCTGCGATTCCAGGCACGGGGCTCCCAGCGTTTTGACCTTGTGGACTGGAAGGATGATAAAGAAGTGCCGCTTTGCTTGTCAGCCGGCGTCCCTCACTCGCGCAATGGCAGCAACACCAATCTGATATGCCTCAAGATCTAGCATTCTTCGGAAGCACGTGTCGCGTTGCGACGTTGATCTGATGACGGGCCTTTCTTCACAATACAACGGCTATCAGGCCGGTTTCCTTTCTCAGTTCCTCAATGCCTTCTAAATGAAGGCGGTCGAAATTACAGGTTTCGAACGATAATTACGAGCATCCTGCTGCAAATACGTCCTTTCAATGGCAGACTTGCGATCAGTACTGTTGAACCCAGGCTCTACTCCGCAGCAGCTGGGAATCAATACTGCAACCAACACTGCCCCCCAGAGGCAGGCACCGGCATGCAGCCGAAGTCCCTGTCGGGGTCTGGAAACATGGCGTCGCGGTACCTGCAGTAGCGGTCGAGACCGGGCTACAGGTGTAGGCCTCGGGAGCAAGTTGGGACCTGGCTGTAGATGCAACTGATTATCTTTGATGGGGCTACAGCACTGTGTTACATTGCAAATGACGATACATACCTTTCCGTACGAATGCAAACACGGCAGCAGCACTATCAACTAACGGGGAAAGCTTGCTTTCCCGGTTCGAAAAGACCTATAAGGTGACCAACAAACCAGTGGCAAAATGCTTCCCTGAAGATAGCGTCGCAATGCCTTATAACATTTTGGGGGAGGCTGGAAACAACACGAAGCGTTCCTTGTGGCTCTCAGAATCGCAGAGCCAAGACGGGGTGTTTGGAGTCCGAGAACCCAGGCTGCTTTATTCTTGATCCCCAGTGAACATTGTCTTGGAGCCTCCTGTCAGACATGAGCCCCTGCCCAACTTGCAAAGACCCCATCATGTTTTCGAATGCCAGGCACTTGCCGGTCGTTTGCGAAGCTAAACCTTACTGGGCCACATGATGGGAAACAAACAAACAAACACTTCCTGCAGAGGTGCTGTGTCCGCATCACATGCAGCATGTCAGACATCATTTTGCTCGAAGTAATCCTCAGCTAGGTGAGACAGCAGGCCGCTAGGGGTGCTAAGCTCTAGCCACTCGGACTCGCCAGCTGAGGTTCATGGTTCCCATTCGCCGGCATTACTTGCGGCTCACTCTCGCACACGGCAGGCAAAGCTCCACACAAGTCTCATCCTCAAGCTACTCACATCATGCTTTAGGGTTGAGGCATTCGAGTTCGTGCCTGAATTCACCTGTCGGAGAAACAAAAACCTTTAGGCCTATTTTTGCCACGGCTTTTAGGAATATGGGGCTTCGGCTTCGGCTTTAAGGTTCGGGGCGCGTCCTTGCTGAAGAGTCTTAACTGACTTACTTGGGAACAGGCACCGGGCGCCGGCCATGACTCGAAACTCCACAAACCTTTTCGGAACGAGGCGCTGCTCCTCAAATTCTCTGAGCGATGCCTCAAAGGCCGTGCGGCGAAGCAGCAAGTTATCCGGCCTGAGATAGCCGCTGCGGAGCTCAACGAACAAAACACAATAAGAGTAGTATTGACATTAGGACGGCTCGCAATGCTTCGGAGCTGGCCAGTGACAAGCCGCGGAGCTGCCCACAAATACTCATGTATGGGGACTGAAGGCTGAAAGCAAAAGAGCCACATTCGATCGGTAACAGATGGTAAAATGGGAGTGTCATGAGGGATTGAGGCAATAAGGATCCAAATCAGGGGCATATCGACATCAGCGCGAGCGGCATCACTGCCTAAGTCCCAACCGTTGAAATCCCGAGGCCCTACTTAGATGTAAGACCATCCCTGGAGGATCTGGATGCAGCTGCCCAAGAGGCTGAATACTCGAGAACCATTTCAGAAGGTCTCGGTCTCCTCCCAGGGAACTCGAACTCACTGCTCCAACGCGCAGGGCTGGTCGTAAGTTGTAAGTCGTCATCCTACTAGCAGCAGCAATGGTAGCAGTAGTAATCGTCGTTAGTGGTACCCGTCGGCGAAGTAATAGTCGGTCGTAGCCACAGCAGCACTATTAAGTAACTGCATAGCAATCGTCATCATCGCAGCCCCAGTCTCAAAAGCCACACTATCAGCAGCCGCAATGGGTAGTCACAGCGGTTCTAGTGGTGCTTCAGACGCAAGAAACAGCGAATGTCACCATGCAACGACAACGCCGTGCGAAGTTGCTCCAGGAATAGAGGTAGGTAGGTGAACATGTTCCGAAATCGTAGCTCGTCAGGCTTTAACGGGACATGCAACAGCACGCAAAGGTCAACAATCTGTGGGTGCAGGCATCGACTCGAATCCAGCAAAGGACAGCGCTGTTCGAAGCTGCTACACCGGACAAGAGGATTGCTGGCGCCAACAAGGCGCGAATGCAGGCTTCGGAGAAGGAACCCATTCCCCTGCCAGCGCCTCCTTCTTTGAATCTTTGGCTCAGGAGCTCCCAGCCAGTTGGCTCCTGAGCCTTCATAGCGCCACAGGCAACGATGTAGACCTTCTTCCTCGGAGCGAGGAGGTACAGTAGCGGCTGCATGAGGACGAAAACAAGAGAGAACTTGCGAAAAATATATGGCTTTACTTACTTCCATTCATTTGTGTGTATTTACTTTTTTTTATATTGAATTTAGATTATAGACGCAGGCTTTGGGTAAATGAAGTCGTCAACCTTGCCGACATATTACTGAAACATGGATGAGGTGTTTGTGTGTGTGGGGGGGGTATGTGTGTCTGTGTCTGTGGAGCTGTCTGTCTGTCTGTCTGTCTGTCTGTCTGTCTGTCTGTGAGTGTGTCTGTGTCGGTGTCTGTGTCCGGTGTCTGTCTCTCTGTGCGGCTCTTTGTGTTTCTCTCTGCGTGTCTGGGTAATACAGTATTGTGCACCGAAGTTTAGTGGTCCTCAAAACTTGCATGACGTGTGGAGATTGACCTCAGGCTTCCATCGTCTCGCGAGATTTGTAGTGGATACTTACGTCAGGAATCAGATAGCCCTGGGCCTGCATTCTAGAGAGGTGAAGTGGAAACTTAACTATATTCCTCACCTTCTGGTTCACATTATTGATACCATTGTCTTTTGCTCCTATTCTCGCCATTATTTCTTAATCAAGTCAACATCACCGTTGTCCGGACTATAGCCAGGGTTCGGGTTGCTAGCTATTAGTTCATCTTGGCTTACTGTGGCCTGTCAGAAGCTTTACGTGGAGCTTGCTTCTGAAAACATGATTCACCTTGTCAAGTTAGGCAGCACATGCGTTCTGACGTTTGGGAAATGTCTTCGTTGGGTCGGCTCAAGTTTTACATTTTGCATTTTACATGTCCGGCGGTTTCCATACTCCGGACGGGCACCCGAAGAAGCAGACACAGACAGACGGACAGACACAGAGACCGATAGACAGACCGACAAACACACCGACCGACCGACCGACCGACCACAAACAGAAAGACAGACAGACACAAAGACAATGCTTTTCCTGTCCAGAAACACACCCGGTCTCGCCGGGAGCGAGTCGGAGACTACAACCCTGTTGCCGGAGGCACCCTTCTCATTGCTTCCGGTCAGTCAAGAAAAACCAACTCAGGTATATACACACGAACCATTGCACGAAACTTGCACTGATAGTTGACTGAAACCCAACAAGCTGTGCCTGAGCCAAGCTGCACGCGCGTACCCAGGCGATATGCGACGCAGGTGGCGGGCGCCGCCCCTCGGGAGTGGCCGAAGAGAATCCTTGGCTGCGACGAGTTCTTTCCTCCGACAGGTAACGAATAGAAGTGGTAATAGCAATGACAGACACACCAGTGCTGGTAGCAGTAATGGCCATGCGACCGGACAGCAGTCATATCTGCTCACTTGAGAGTAAGCTTTTCAGAAATTACACCAATACTCCGTTGCATCTCCGCATTGATTCACCGATGCTAGCAAGTCGTCGAATTTACAAAAACACCTCTGAAATCGAAGCAGAAATAGGCCTGACGTGAGTACATGCGTCTGCGCCCAGGAAGAGGCGGGGAGGAAAAAACATAGGAAGTACAACAATCTTAATTTACAAAAGGATCCAGCAACACAAAAGCTTCCCCGATCGAAAACACAACTTCAGAAGCTACCGGCGACTGCCCACGCTGACACTCTTCCCCGGGGCGCCGAGCACAGGCATTCCAAACGGTACAAGGCGAGCCAAAGATCTTGACAAAGTGTATGTGCACACTAGAATAGAAGAGTTCAGAATCTCCTTGGAGATCTACACTTACTTATATATATATATATATATATACAGATATAGATATAGATATAGATAAAGAAATAGATATATGTGTAGTTAGTTAGTTAGTTATTTAAACACATGAAATCCCACAACGCAGACAAAGTGCAGCGGTCGATCCGTGGCACCTGCAGCAGCACTATCGCGTGCCAGGCCACCAACAGGACAGTCCCCTTTAGGCTTCCTTCCTTGGAACATTACGGCCGTTACGGCTCTTTGGTTCGCTGTTAACTTCCGGGTAACTTCCGCTACCCCCCAACAACCTCAGACTCGCAACCCTGACCTTAGTGAATCTGTCTGCCTGCAGCTTTGTTGATCTCCCCCACGAGCAGGTCGATGTAAGTAGCCCAAGGCTCCCGACCTTCTCCAATCATCCTGCGAGACATCGGACGACGTTTGCGGAGGCGGTTTCTGCATCGAAGTTGAGGGCTTCAGCTTGTTGGCGGCACATGACAGCCTGTACTGCTTGGGTACAGCAGTGGGAAGAAAACCGCCGCGCCCAATCTGACCGCACAAAAATTTGTGCGAATGGCACACTCGGGGACAGCCGAAACATGCTTGGATCTGCTTGGTGTCTGAATTGGCTGCTGCTTCGCCAAGTGTAACACTTTTGCGCAGGCGACTGGGCCGAGGTGCGGCCCTAAACCTTGCAATGCTATCTCTCAGCACACTGGGGCAGGGTCTCGTAGCCGTCGGGGAAATGGAAGATCGCAGCATCCTGCGAGTTCGCAGGCAACAAACCTCATCAAGACAAGTGCTCTACCGGCCTAGCAAACCAACAGAGTACCTCTACATGCGTTTGGAAGAGACGTGGCAAAGACCTGAATGCAGCATTCTCTCCAGGGCTAGGACAGGCAGGTAGGATACGGCATGTGCCTCTCCAACACAGCATCTTGCAGCCAGAAATGGCAAAGTCGCTTGCCGTTGCCGCGGTCTGTATGCAAGCATGCTTCACACCTCTGAAATGATGGCATGCACGCAGCCTGAAGACCTTCTTGCAAATTGTGCATTTGGCCGTTGGCATCCCGCTTCTACCAGCCTCCACACCAGCATCCTTCACTGCTTCCATGAGCGGGGCTAACCTGATGCTGGGCTTGCAGAAGCAGCTGAAGGCTGAATATCAACAAAGGCTCTACAGAACTCTGTGACTCTATTATGATAGGATATGTATGCACTGATTCATGCTGTCATATGCTTAACCATGTACTCATTCATCTAACTTAAATGCTTACTGTTGAAACGATTACGAATACCTGTTCCAGGTATTAGCTAGTTAGTTAGTCAGTTAGCTAGGCGTTGTAGTCCCGACTCCTTGTCCAGCCGCCCCTGGAAACCAGTGTCATACAACGTTAGAAGTGTCAAAGTGTCCCCTCTAACCCAAAACCCTGAGAACAAGATGTGCATTTGGCGGCTTGGCCGCCATGCCGCGCTGTCGAAAGCTTTTTGCGTATGCTCGGCCAATATAACCCGTCTTTCGGGTGTTTGTGCTCTGCCAGTGGAACAACAGTGGCGACGATTGTGGTGATGCATGTCATCCCGACATAATGCCATACGCACTAGCCCATGCTTCGGAGCAGCCGTACATACTGCACAGGCACCCTGTTCGTCTTCAACAACAACTGCTACAGAAGAGCCATGTCACGAGCCACCGTCCGGACCGGCTGGCTGAGATGGGAGAAGTACATGTAAAGCAGTTGGCAACAGGTGACTTGTGAACTGCGGTGTTGAGAGTGAAGAACCAAAGGTCCCAAATTGAACAGTATGCAAGGAACCATTTTGTTCGCCCGGGTCGCCATCCTCTCCACAACCCCTGCCTGCATCCCTGGTGAAGTTTGACGGCAAGCCGAGACAGAAGCCGTCTTCAACCCTACCACGCCCCAAACTCCAAATTATAAAACCTGAATTCTTGTTAACACATCCGGCCGAGAGGCAACTTCTCGCCATCTTTCATCGAGAACCCGCCGGAATACCATGCCTTCTTTCCGATCCCGAGCTGACCACATGGAGCGCAGGGTTTATTAAAAGGTAGTCTGACAGTGACCACATAAGAGTACTGCAGCAGGACTGTGCCAGAAGCGGAAAACCTGGGCCGCTGGCGCAGAACAGTGGCTGCTTGCCTGTCCCGTTAAATCGGAGCATGTCTCAGTGAGCTGACCACACATCATGCTGAGCAGTTTAGCCTCCAACTCACTCCAACAAGCGCCGTCTGTGGTACATGGACATGCCACGATCGCAACTAACACCGGATATCTTTGGATCGTGCCGCTAGCACCGCTGGGCGACGCTGCGCAGGGCAGAAAGAAGCACAGCGGTGGGGGCCCTCCAACAACGTTTCAATTTACAGGCGAGTGTACTGAACCCACGAGTCTTGTAGTGGTTTATAAAACAGTAGTGTTTGTAGTGTTTTATAAAACACCATGCCTCAGCGACTGCGACTGCATCTGAACATGTCTCCTTCTGCGCCCCCCTTTCCCCCCAATTTGAGCCTTTCTGAGGCGCTGCTGCCATGGGTATTCGTCCCACAAATGGCACCTTCGAAAAGGCTCTCATGTGCTTTAAGAGAACTTCATGTCAAACTTGCAGCTCAAGTTCGTGGGGCAGTTCCCGTGCGAAAGAGTGACCAGGAGCTGAACACGGACCCCGCAGCACGACAGTTTTTCAGAGCTGCAGTGCTTCGAGACAGATGCTACCTACAGCGTGGGCGGACAAAGGTCCCATCAACCATTATCGCCCCACTTGCAGTGTTGTCACCGTACCCTCTCCTGGCCCCTGGCCCCTTGCCTCGCGCCACTGTGGCTTCTCCGGCGCTGCTGCATCCCGGACTTTCAGGAAGCGCCGGAGCCTTGCTCGCGAAGGGCATGTGGAAGTCCCGAAGCTATCGGAATCCCCTCCGTCAGCCCGCAGCCCTCAACAGTACGGATGATGATGGTTGTGACTTGGGTCTACCATTCCTGTCGAGATACTGGCAACACAATCTTTGAACTCAGGATTTGGGCCTTGGAGTTAAGGGCTCGAAGCTTCGGGTCTTACGGCATGTAGGCCTGAACAATCACCGTGAGGCTCCACAACTCCAGGGCTTAGGGCTTGCGGTGTTTTCCTAAGTCTTCCAGTTCCGGATTTGGACTCATACTCAAATTGTAATTTCACGATGGGTTTAGTCTTTGGGCGACACACACGCTCTACTTTAGTGACTCTCTGGTGACCGTTAAGAACGGCACAGCCCAGGCTCCCTCACACGCACGACCTTCTGGGTGTCTGGCAGGTCCTTCCCATAAAGGCGGGTGCTGACCTTAATTAAGGTGACAAGGGTCTGAACGACAGGTGATTCCAACAGGAACCTTGCTAATCGAAACCCCATTTCCAGAGTGACAAGCCACTTTCCCTGGCAACATATAATATTATGGTGAACTTGCCAGACGCGTTTGCACCGGGGCTGGGCAACACCGGACTCCAGCCGGATAAAGCGATTCAGTGGGCCCAGGGCCTGAACAGTCAGCTTTGTCTGATCCTCCCTCCTGCCTCTACGTGTGCGTAATGGCTCGGGGATCAAATTTATTATTGCTACTTGACCCATTGTCTCTGCTCAACCAGCGAAAGCTATTCCTGCAACTAAGGCCATGACCCAGCCCGTCTCGGGTCCAGAGCCCGAGATGAGCTTGTAGCGCAGCCGCCTCAGTGGCGGTGCGTAAGGTACTACACTATAAGAGCCGAAATCGTTTAAAAGGTTGGGCACAAATAGGCGATCTAAGTATTCTCACTGGGGCTCCGGGACTGTGCGCAAAATTGGCACTTGGCACTTGTCGCGAGTGAGTTGCCGCGGTGTGGACCGAGGAGTCGGCACAGGCACCAGCACAAAGTTAAGCTTCAGAACGGTCGTGCACATGCACTCACATGAGTATTGATATTGATACATATAAATAGTATCTATATACATATATGTGTGTGTGACGATCATGTATGTTTAGGTATACAGAGAGAGAGAGAGAGAAAAAAAAAAGAGAAACAGAGAGAGAGAGAGAGAGAGCCAGCTAGCTTGCTTGCTTTCTCGGCAGATAGACAGGTAGGTAGATAGATAATTCGTGCATACAGACATAAATGCGTACATACACACACGCGTACGCACATACGCACAAGCAAAGATACATGTGTTGGCTCTCGTGCTCGAGCAACACCGGCAAACATTCCGGAAATATAACAACATTACAAACTCCACGCGAGCCCTGTGCAAAGCTCATGGGCTAGCAAACATGCAGACATACGTGCATGCATGTATGCAGCATTGCATACAAGCAGACAGACCAACGGACGGACATTAGAACTGCACAAAACAACACGTTTGACTGTTTACTGCAGAAGCGATAGAAAATCAAATCCAGAAGTAAAGGAACAGCTTAGACTAAGGGAGAGAGGTAGGGACAAAGAGCAAGACTCATCTGTGCCTGATGTGTAATTACATATGACCCTAAACCCTAACCTCTGAAGACCCTATACCCTATACTATACCATGTTACAAAATCCGCACCGCTCGGCCAAGTGCCCATTGGCAAGCTCGATCTCCTCTACAAAGGCGGCATGCGACAGCCGCGCATCCTGGGCTTCAAATCCCTGGGGAAAGCAATGGGCAAACTAAGCAAAACACTGTCGGTTTCGGCGCTCGCACTCGGACAATCCAGGCGATATGGTTCGAGGTCTGCTAAGCGTTCAGGGTTTAAGGGTTTTTGCTGAGACTAGTTACCTAGAAACCTGCACGACGTAAGTTGTCACCGGAGTTCTCACTTTACTCTAATTGTATCTAGCCAGGCAAATTCAGCAAACCTTGTGCTGCAGAGTCGTTAGGCGTTGCCACGACTAGACATCGAGCCGGCATCTGCGCGACACTCGCACGTAGACAATGGGGCGTGAATGAAACTGCTCGGATGTATTGATTTTGGGGGGCAAAAATACAGGTTCATCCTGGCTCCATGTACCAAACATAGTCACATGTTCGTTTTTCTTTGACACGGCTTCGGTTGCACTCTCTGCCGCTGCATCCAGAACGTCTAGCAGCGCCAGGCAACGCGTGAGGCTAAAGCCCTTCAGGCCCCTCACTCAACTACTTTCATCACAACTAGACGCTAGATTAAGCGACCATGGAAACCCGTGGAGTCTATCATACTATCTCGAGCCCATCGTGTGCACATCGACGGCTCGCCGCCCGGATGTCTCCGATCTCTTGCCTACATGTCAGGTACGCCGGCAGCAGAAGACCATCTCAGCTCAGTACAGTACCTGGCTGCATTCGAAACTTGGCTCCTGACCACGACATGGGGCGAGGTTGACCGTTTTGGCTGCCAGGAACTTGCTCTGGTCATCCAATCTGCGAAGCATCACGGACGGTAGCTCATGTGTCTCTGGAGACCCAGTCTGGCACTGTTCGTACGCAAACTTCGCCACTGGCATGCGGATGCTGAGCCAATCCGACGGTCTGAGCATGGTCTGCAAGCATGGCATGCACGAGTGAATATCATTGGGCAGGTTCTTGTCGCGCTTGAACTTGGCGTGTACTTGCAGCACATCCTGCTGGTCCGTACTGGCATCCACGAGCATCGTAAGTTCACGCAGTTCGGGAACGGGATATACCCTGCACAGCATCGAACTGCTCAGACTTTGTTTTGAGCAGCCACCCTCCGACTCTGCAGCCGTGGACAGGCGATCGTTGTCGTCTTCGGAGTACATGCAGAGCGCTTCTGGAATCGCTCCAAGAGTTGCTTCCGGCTGCAGTCTCGTATCTGGATCCTCCGTAAATGCCAGAAGGTGAAGAGGTCCTGCAGCATCCAGAAAACGGGGCACAAGAACGTGGAAAATGTCCACACCAACCCGCGAATACGCACTTGGCAGTGAGACGCGCAGGCACGGCGGAATGCTGCAACCTTTATCCTGTTCCTCCCTCTCTTCGGGGCTTTGGTTTGTGCTGCAAGACTCGCGGACGAATTTTTTGAACCGCGTTTTTCCCTCCTCGTCGAGCAGGTCGGTAAACTTCACGCCTTGAAGATCGGTGGGCGTCGCTAGGACACGTCTCAAGCGAGTATTGTCCCCGACGATATGGAAACTATCATCGAGAAGCACGTCTGCATCGCAAACGCCTCGCAAGACCCGCTGGAAGCCTTCCAAAGAGAGATTCGCGTCGGCCGACTGGAAGGAAGCTTTGATACAAGCTCGGGACCAGCTCTGGACCATAACTGCGACTCCGCATACCAGGGCCAGGATGACAGCCTGACTGCAGAGGAAGTGCCACGGAGGACCGCGGTGTGTGCCATCCAGTCCGAAGTAGCATGCAACTTCCACCACAAAGACCCAGGCCTGACATGGGATGAAAACAGGCGGGTCGTGAATGAGAGCAGCCCCGGATACACGCAAGGCCGCCGAGAAAACCGAGAGAAAGTTGTAGTCTGCTTCCTCTGAGGAGTGTGTGATGATGACGAGGAAGGTGTGACCGGCGTGCGACAGTACCATCAGCAGTCGAAGTGTTGCGAAGGTGAGGTGCGATCTCGCCACCCACCAGCAGCCGAGATGATGCACAAAGACAGCCACAAACTGGACTGCAAAGACAAAGTTCGGCTGCTGCAGCATGAGGTAAATAAGATACAGTAGTACGACGACCAAGAAGTGTGCGAGGTATCGTATAATGCGCTTGTAGTTTTCCATCATCATCTTCTGCAGGGCATCTTCCATGCAATGCTCGTATAGTTCCAACTTCTTCAGCTTCTGCGCCCCCTTTTCAATCCAGCTCAACCAGGTCGTCGACAAGCCCTCCAAATCCCATTCCGCCAAGGCGGCGTGGACAGACAGGACAACTATGCCACAGGCCACTGCTGTCGGGACTGGAAGCATTTCGCTGAACACCGCAAACATGCCTGAAGAGGCACGGTGGGAGCCCAGCCTTTTCGAGCTCTCAGTCTTGAGAAGCGGGCTTGGCGGTTTGAGCCCGGCATGCCTTCGAAGCTTGTTTGGACCTATGATGAGCTATGCCAACACTCAGCAAGGTCCATAGTTATGCCGAAGTTTGGGTTTTGAGCTTCAGAAGCGGATGCTTTGGGTAGGACTCTGGGACTGAAATTGATGGCCCCTTGCCCCAGGTGCTAGACAGCGCCATATAGCACCAAAAGTATCCGTGTCGGGCACCCGCGGTTGAGGTCCGCGGGGTAGAGATAGTTGGGGCAACCCTGAACACCAGTAAGTGCTGATGTCCAGGCGCCATAAGCTATAGGCTACCATAGGGTTGATATTGGTCAAGTTGTAGCTGGAATGCGTGAAACTGCTGGGGGACAATGAGCTCTCGGTTGCATCTGCATGAACGTGCTTGTTGGACATGAGCTGAACAGTACTACGGCTAGGAGACTGGAATATGGATATCTCGTTGAGTCCAGGCGTCGAGCTTTCTGCTTTGCAAATGCTCACCCTCTCGCACGACAATGCCACCTGCATGGGTGCAGAGCCAGGCAGAAGACTTGTTGCTAGAGCAGTCCCCGTGGTCGAGTCTTTGACGCTTGGACGATTGAAGGTCCAGCTGAAGCTCATAGTGCTGGCTACAACGGCTCATACATTGAAACAATGATGCAAGAAAAAAAGCCGAGGACAACGGGCTGGAGTTGGCGCTTTCCCTGCAGTTCCATGCCAGCTCCGATGCTGCAGTGTTCTGTTGCGGTACCCTTATTGACGGTTTTGTACTGAGAAGACCTACTGTTGTGATGAAGCTACTGGGCACAACAATTAGAAAACATTGTGGTTTCCAGACGCCTCGCATAGCTTACACGTCGTGTTATATGTCCCTCTGAGATGTGAAGACTGGGCCTAGTTGTGGGGCCTTGCTAATTGGAATAGGGTGTTGCCGCATGCTATACTATGACTATAACAAGGAGCCCCAAAATAGGTTTGTGATTTATTGAGACCTCCATACGAAACCGGCATGGAGAATCCAGAAGTCCCACGTGCAAGCCGGGCGGCCAACGCCCGCGCCGGCCGTCACTTCCCAAATCTGTGTCATAGCGCGTGCATCGCAGGGGCTTCCGAAGCTCAGCACGTGGGGTTGCGAGTTAATTTTCGAGTTGCTGTGAAAAGTTGCGTCGGCTTCTCCGCCTCAGGCAGATGGCAAAGCCCTACCATGCTTGGGGTTTGGAGCATCTAAGCACATGCTGAAGACTACACCGGAGAGCGCCCTAACATCTTCTGGGGAATTACCAACTTCTTCTGAGACGAGACAAACACCATCTTGATTAAACCATGCTATGCTATCATTGCTATCCAACCAACGGGATTGTTCACCAATCGTGCAAAAAAAACTATTCAGGAACTCCTACCGGGATTTGTTGGGCTTCCTGCGATATGGCGGGGGCGAAATCTTTGGCCCTCACTGGGAGCCAAGAATTCCGAGCGATTGAGGCGTGGTGCGAGCCCGAAGGGGTATCGTGCTGCAGTGACCATGTCCATGCTGCTATAGCTTGGCCCCGTCTAGGAGTGGCCGGTCCGGAATTAGAGCTAATGAAACGGAACCGATGAAACTAAGGTCAGTTGTGGATATCATGGATATGCCAAACCCACGCCGTCAAGAATCAAATTGCCTCAACCCGATTCGTAAACTATGGCGTGAGATCTTGAACAGCGACAGGAAGAGGCACCGTTCTCGCTCGCTCATGCCGCATGCACTAAGGCGAAGCCGCTGTGGATCCGAAAACGACCCTTGTTCGAGACGGAAGGTCCTCAACCCCCATCCTTTCAACATTTTCCTGGTTGTACCTACTGTCAGTATTGCTTGCTGGGTTTCCTGTTGAAGTCAGTGGGGCTGTGTCAGGCATGTACGTGCTACGACAGTGTGGCACACTCACCCCACCACACCATGCCCTCAATTTCTGCAAGTCTCAAACGGTTTGTGCAAATTCATAATGGCACTTCTGAAACCGCGGATGCGGACTACCCGCAGACTCACGGGCTTCCCGATTCGTGCATACAGAGCTTTGGGGCTTACGTCCCCCGGGACCTTTCAACAGCCGTTCAGCGCGTTCGGGAGCTGTAGAAAGGGTGTATAGAGCCAGAAGAGGGTTTTGTTTCATCTCTGGGGGATCACTCAGCTCGCCCCTTCCGACAGAATCTTTTCTGCATCTCCACGGATGGTCTCCGCTTTGCGTGGAAGGTGACGACCAAGCCTTCGCCAGGGTCAAGAGTTGAACTACTAGAGAGAAGCAAGGGCCGGAGGTGGCGCAGCAGTGTGGTCACTTGCTGCGCAAATGGACCCAGGCATGTGGCAAAGACACCTGCCGAGTTAGATCATCTTACCCACCTATGCCTGAGAGTTTGTTCAGGAAGACCAGGAATCTGAAAGATCCCTTGCCCGTGCAATCCCATGCGAGCACTGGATTTCGGAAGATCTGGATATTTATTATCTTGTCTACGGAGTCTGAAAGCATGCATCATTGAATCATTGGCGCTTGCTTGCAAACAGCTGCTCAGGCTGAGCCATCGGCTCATAAAGACAAATCGCAGTAGCGTGGCCCACCTCAAACCAGATCGGATTCACAGAAGCTTCTGAGAGCTGGAACTCAAGACATGTAGTATGTGGGGGCCTCAGCAAACAGAACTCAGGGTTTGGGGGTATATGATAGCCAGTAGTAGAAGTGTGTAGTAGTAGTGGCAGTAGCGGTCGTCGTCGTAGTGGTGGTGGCACTGCCAGACAAGATCATCTGCAAAGCAACCCTGCTAGACTTTTTTTTGCAGCAGGCCTCGTTGTCCAGCAGCCCGGTTACAGCAAAGAGCCCCTCTGTCCCCAGACTTAAACCTGGAACCCTCAGCACGACAGGCCTGAAAAGTCTATCGCGAACTGATAATCTGCTTCATCGGCCCCTGTTTGTTAAGCCCGCGATTGTCCTCCCGGCTACCAGCACCAGTACTATGATCAGCCCCATCGCCAACACAGTCACCACCACCTTGACTTTGGTATTAACCATCCTCATCCTCAAGTACATATATCTGCACTACTGTACCATCATCTGCTTGTCACAATCGTCACCCCCAAGCTCAGCATCAGCAGCAACAGCAGCAGCAGCAGTAGCATTGCCATCGTCAGCAATGCCACAGCGACACCATCTTTAGTCATCATATCCCCTGCTCGACTTCTCGATCTTCGTCTTCATAGCCATAATCTCTTATGATCGAACCGGTGAATCACACAGGCGAATGACGGAAATCCGGCACGATCCAAGCAAGCCGCATTGAGCGAGGCTCCGCGAACCTGGCGTCCACAAACGGCACCCAAGTTAAAGCTTTAGCGTTTTGGGGCACATGCTGCCTCACCTTTCTTGTTGCTCCGTTTTCGTCACACAACAAGAAACATGACCGCGTAAATGGTGTAGTGAGCTTAAAGCAACATTGCATGCGTTTGCATGGGTCTGCGGGGCCTGCGGCACTCGGAGCTTTGAGCTGCAACGAGCGAGGATGTCGGGGGAGATGCCTCGCATTGATGAAGCTTCTCATCGCCTGCTTTGGGCAATTCCCGTACTGTCGATTACATGTTCTTACTCTCGCACTCAGGCACCACGCTGAAACCAAGGGCATCATGCAGACAAGGAGCTGACAAATCGCCTCATCACCAATCTACAGTAAACCCCAGAGTTGGAAATCGGATGAAGGACAAACAGTGCTGGCATTCCCCACAACTTACTCTTCAGGATTGAGGCTATTGGGCAACTTCTGGGCTTCTACTGTATAACGCAAAGCAAGAAGGAGTCGCGAAATTGCACTCTCTCTAAGACTGCATGCCACAGAGACACGCAACAACAAAAGCAGCTGTAAATACTGTTGCATTCTCTGTCGCGCCAACCTCAAGGCTGGATAGTTGTTGACTAGTAGTCTACGCAAGCAGCCAAACACCGTTGGCTTCAGAATCCGTTCCCCTCGTAGACCTGCCTTTCTCTTCGTTTCCAACCACCAGCGCCCAGCCTCACAAAACGTGTCGGCATGAGCAGTTGAGACAAAGCGTTCAGCGGCGTTGCAGCAGCTGCTGCTGCTGCTGCTGACTAGACTAGCCCCTCTGGTACTCTGTATGCTCAACGATCTGGCACTGTGCGATGCCATGTTCTGCTGTGCTATTCTTGCCGTATTGCATGGCCGTGTTATGTTATATGTGAAACTATGTCACGACATTGAATAGTCCTCCAATAATTTCGAGTTTGCCGGTCCTTATTGACATGTTCGGTTTCGTAGTAGTATTGAGGGGTCTGCCGGCCTGATTTTTAGGAAGCAAGGCTCCCAGGGCCAAAGGCTTTTGCGGATGAGGCGAAGCCGTCTGGATGGGAGTCCGCGGAGAGCTGAGGGCCTACTAAACCGCCTATGCGGGATTATGGGGGGAGGCCATTTCCCCTAAGGGGCTACTCCTACTCATGCTACGACGACTACTACCGCCACTGCTAAGAAGCACTACAGCGAGTTTGGTGTCGATCTCCTAGACTTAGTGCCGTGGAGATAGAGCTCGCCCGCCAGCCCCTAGTGGACGTACCGTAGGGTTCCTGGGCGCGCCGGGACCTCCCCATGCACGTTTTGTCATTTGTTGTATGTTTGCTTTTTGAAGGAGGGGGCGGCCGTGACACAACAATTTAAGCTGTGTTTATGTATCGCCTTATATCATACACAAGTCTGCTTTTATATCTCTACTTACGGTACCCACTGCATGGTCTGCCCGTCGTCTGAGCAATCGTCGCGCATCGCCATGCGGGCAGTGTGGCCCAACTGTTTGAGGATGGTCTTCCTGCAAAGAAAAAGCTCTCCGCACTTCTTGGGATGCAGATAAACCAGGCGCCTCAGCTGCATAGATGCCTCGGAGCATATACTCGCTGATACATGCAATCGTCACAGTCCACACTGCA